CGTTGTGAGAAAAAGAAACTCAAGCTGAACCGTTGACCCTCGCCCAACTCAGACAGTAATCGCAAGAGGAGCAGGTGAAGCAAGAAAAGCAGCGCAATCTTCTAGCTTCTTGTAAAATTTCATGGCTCTATGTATAATCCAAACTATTTAAAAATGCATCAAAATAGACAGGGAATCAAAAGATCCAATACCCGAGATGTGGGAAAAACTGGAGTACCCCGAGAAAACCTTACTTCTACTGGTCAAGTGCCGAATACTCCATCTGACCAAGCCATAGCCATGGACCTATGCTGGGAGATAAAATACGTTATTTCTAGCAACTTGCATGTATGAATTACTGTAACAAAAATAATCTGGACCAATAATGTATGGTTTGTCTTGTAGGAGTCGTCTGTCAAGGGATGTGCTTGAAGGGAGCAGACTGTCTTTCTGAGTCGTAGTTTGTGTTTACTGTAGGTTTAGTCTTTTGGAAGTATCTTTTTATGAAGGTTGCTCGGTGTGAGTCTTGATCATGGGACTTAGTCTCCGGATCTATGGACGCATTAACTCGGGTATGCTTATTTTGGGGGTGTTTGTCTTGGTTTGTGTTTGGTGGTTGGAGGTAGACGGTTTTTCAGTGGAAGTGTCTATGCTCGGGTTCTCCTCGATCCGTGTTTGTTTGTCAGAGATTATTTTAGTTCTTCTGGCCGGTGTTTGGGTTTGTTTGTCAATTGTGGAGGTGGATTGTGTGCTTACGATGTGATTCCAGTAATGGCGTGTTCAACTTTCGTGGATTGGAGGTGAAGTTACTCGCTTGACTTATTCCTATTTCTCTGAAATGGTCTTTCTGCTTTAAAATGGAAGTACTACATGTAGCATCCACTGTGAAGAATTTTGTCGGTTAGACTGGAGTTGACAACGACTTTCATAAACTGCTTTGTCTTCCGGTTCTTCTAGACCATATTCTGTAAACTGTGGATTTCTGCTCATAGATGTTTTTTTTTATGGCTTTATAATTCCATTCTAAGTGATTGAGAAGTCTACATTCTTAAGGAAAGTGCTGAATAAAGTGTTAATGCTTAATGATGGGTTGCAATGTACTGTAGTTTGGGAAGTTGAATGGTAAAAAGAAAATATCAAGAAGCTGTGGCTAGATGAAAATCCCGTTGCGTGTAATCTTCTGGTTTTTCCGGTATTATTCTGGCGTCAGGTTTGAAGTTCCTAGGGAATTCACAAACTTGTATTATTCAATAGGGTTGGGCAAACCGTGCATTACCACAGGCGATGAAATCGTATCAGCTATGTCTCTCTCTCTCCCGCGACTGTGTTTGCATCATGCGTTCATCACACTTCTTCGTCCTTATATAGTTACAGGCTCTCTTCACAATCCTCCTTTTGAATCGGCACTAGTTACTCCAGGCCAGCCTTAATTTTATCCCTTTATCGAATATTTTTCGTCCACAATGATAAGGAAAGCATTCTTGTAGATAGTTGAAGTTATAAAAGAATTTTTATTTCCCATTATAGTAGTCTCACACAGGTTATTTTCTAGAGGGTACATTAAAAACTGGTACTGAATGCTAAAAGTAAATATAATTAAAGGTAAACTTTAGGGTTGGTTGAAATATTAAAACGTTTCTGACTGACACAGGCCTGGCTTGACCAAATAGTTAATTGCATGATGTGAATACAAGGGTTTAGGTTTAGGGATCCGTTTCAAAAATGCACTCCACATTTTTGGGGCCGTAAATGTGCTATAAAAGTGACGGACAAATCATTTATACGACCAGCAAGACTAACCCTAGAGGTGGCGATGTGTCTTTTTGACTAGCTATCTTCCCTCTAGCCTACTAATTGAAACTTAGGGATGACTATGCAGATATAACATATGCGTAGCTTGTGCAAAATTCTAAAACAAGTGATCAAACCGACACATTTCTCAAAAAAGGAAAACATAAAACAAACAAGTATCTCTAGCAACAGCAGATAGAGAACAAATAATCATCATGAGTACATTTCTTGCATTAAACCCATTATGTTCGGAAAAAGTCCAATATGAAATAGAAATGAGAAACTGATTACTAGTGTTGTGTTTTGTTTGATGCAAAACAGTAATTACTCTTTAAAGGATATTTTAGTACATCTGTGGTTTTATTGTAGTTCAGGTGTAATAACGGTTATGGTAGATTATTTTGCACGAGTCTGTGATTTTACTAAAGTGCGCATGTAATTTTGCTGTGTACTAAATGGTCTTTTTTTATGTGGATGACATTAACATGACTAATTCACGTATTGTAGTTCGTGCTTCAGGTGCAGTCAGATCAAACATTAGTTGTAGTGGAGATTCTGCAACAACTTTATGAATTAATATATAATTATTTTTTCACTTTTTAACTGGTCACGAGGGTTAGATTCCGTGATAGTTTTGGTTTCAGTAAGTTATTTCCGTTACAGTGTTGTCACAACCTCTTAATTCTTTTAGACATAATTTAATTATTTCAATTTGTTAACATATAATACCTTACGATACTGGCGGTATCTTTCAAGTGACATGTAGGTCCAATATATACAGTACAACATATATGAAAGCAACAAATTAAACACAATTTAATACAACTTACAAAAATATTTCTACATTAATTACCTTCGTACAGAAAACGAATGATAAAACCATTTATTTGTGGTTTAATATGGTTCTTTTGTCATACAGATGTTTCTTACTGTTTCTATTTTAAAGCAAGTTTTATTTTCTGATGCTTATATTGATAGCACTTGCCTCATTTTATGACGTCTCCACGTTCACAGTGGTAACGATATAATGTATTATCTTGCATATTGATTCAAAAAACAAAATTACGGAAAAATTCCTTATTGTGCTTCGTATTTATAAACAACAACAACAACAACAAACTTTCCACATTTATATTTTCGTATTGCGAACACAAACAGGATAAAACAGGAATAATTTTGTATAGAAAAATGTTACACAACGATAGAGCACCAGTAGCCTTGCGCCAATAATAATGTCATTGAAACGTTGTATACACTAAGATAGAATAGATAAGGATACCTACATTTACATAAACACATCTAGATCACTTCTAGTATAAAACAAGTAAAAAAGAAAGAAACACACATAATAATAGTGAAGGGAAAGCAAGATTGCAGAAAAATAAAAATAACTAAGTAATTTGTAGCAGAATGAGTAACACACTAATCAGATTTAAATAATTTCATATTATACGATCGTTCTACATATTGTTAAATGTTTTTTATTTAACTTAGGTTATTTGAATATAAAACATATTTAAATGCTAGTGAGAAACCACTTTATAACACATAATTTATCCCATAAACAATTTGGAGACGTTCGGATTGTCAGTAGACACTGTTAGAGAATCTTACATCTTATCCTTCATGATGGATATTTTCGTTTTGACAATAAACTATATCTCCATCTTTGTTGTGTTACAATATGAATCAAGTAGCTGTTATTTAAGCCATAATATTTATGGACGTTTTTGAAATAGGGTTTATTGATAAGTGGCATGTTTGTTTGTTTTGTTTTGAATTTCGCTATCTGCGCTAGCCGTCCCTAATTTAGCAGTGCAAGACTAGAGGGAAAGCAGCTAGTCATCACCACCCACCGTGGGTTACTCTTTTACCAACGAATAGTGGGATTGACCGTCACATTATAACGCCCCCACGGCTGAAGGGCGAGCATATTTGGTGTGGCGGGGATTCGATCTCGCGACCCTCAGCTTGCGAGTCGAGCGCCCTAACCACCTTGATAAGTGGCGTCTAGATAACAACACTGGCCGCGTTCTGTGGCTTAGATACATCGTTAACGTATTTGAGCTATGAACCCATGGCCTTGATTCTATAAAGATAAACATCACACCTCCAACAAAAACACAGGTAAACATAGAAGTAAATAGATAATTTTCCAAAAATTAATGTTACTGTTGATCTAGTTGACGATACTATCTCCAAGAAAATAAAAACCATGATTAGGAAACCTGACCTACTGATTAAAGTTACAGAGTTTTCAGATGCCAAATTTCAAAATATCAATATAATAAATACCCTGTGGTTTAATAGATCCAATTGCCTTACAATATTGTGTTTACAATTTAAAGATGGTGTTTTTCTTCCAATGTCCTATTACGTATGTTGGAGAATCCTACAAATAAGGATAGGAGAACCCGTTGAATCTCTTCACAAATTACAATATGATAGAAGATCATTGTTTAACTATTTGTGGCTAAGCAGCTCCTAACATCAATCCACAATTATCTGTAAAAATCCTTATGAGAAATATCAAATAGATTGGTAGTAAATGTAAAGAAGTTATACTGAACAGTTACAGCGACAAAAATTATAATTATTAGTTTAATTATTTATCTTAACTTGTTGTTTAGATCATTCTGTTTTTTATAGATAGCAAGTTACATTTTAAACATTCTAATTATTTCAACAATTGGCTTTATTACTTGCATCGTCGAAATAACGCTGTAGAATTATTTAAACCCATTGAAGCTTTGTACTTGTCAGTTTCGATTTATGTTTCAGCGAAGCGCTCCTGAAGCAGACGTAAAAATGTTATAATGTCCTTTATTACTAGTAATATAACAGTTAAACGTTTGTTAGCTTATACAAATATATAGTCATAAGTGCTGAATAAGAGGAAAATGAGGTCAATGTTTTCGTGAAACATAAAACATAAATTCTCCTTTCCTTTTAGGTCATTTGTTTTATGTGTGTGTTCAGGTTTTATTATGCTACTTCTGCGTTTGCTTGTTGTTTGGTTTAACTTGAGCAAAATAGCATAGATCAGCTATCTATACCCAGTTGTATCAATACAAGTTATTAATCACTAGATAAAATTTGCAGTAATGAAATAACATTGTGTAATATAATAGTAATGTTTAGAGCGAGCAGTAAATACAACGATACAGTATTATCACGCTCTATTATATGAGAAAAATCATTAATAATACTTGTCTTTTTTTTTATTTCAGCTAAGCATGAGTTGATGGACATCCAAGAATAGCTTTCTAATGAAGGGTACAGAAAGACTGAATTACTTGAGGGGAGCTACCTGCAGTGCGTTATCAACAGGCAGAGAGATGAATCTTCACGAGAAAAGCTGGTGTTTATGTTCAATATTTTGTCTGGTTCACCTCTTTGTTTACGTCAATGCTCAGATGTCACAAGGATCTACACTTGGTAAGCTAAGCCTTCGATTTGTTGAAATTTAGAATACGGTTTTAGAGCTTAGGAAATTTTAGTTATTTGTGTAATAATTATGAAATTTCATTCTTGGTCATTATAAATAGCTACAAAACATTAGGTAAAATTGTAACGGGAGGATAAAAATAATGTAGTGTTTTCAAAGTTGCAGGATAAAAATAACGTAGTGCTTTCAAAGTTGCAGGATAAAAATAACGTAGTGCTTTCAAAGTTGCAGGATAAGAATAACGTAGTGCTTTCAAAGTTGCAGGATAAAATAACGTAGTGCTTTCAAACTTGCAGGATAAGAATAATGAAGTGCTTTCAAAGTTGCAGGATAAAAATAACGTAGTGCTTTCAAACTTGCAGGATAAGAATAATGTAGTGCTTTCAAAGTTGCAGGATAAAATAACGTAGTGCTTTCAAACTTGCAGGATAAGAATAATGTAGTGCTTTCAAAGTTGCAGGATAAAAATAACGTAGTGCTTTCAAAGTTGCAGGATAAGAATAATGAAGTGCTTTCAAAG